CTATTAATGCTCATTAAAGCAGCAGTTAAGACACCAAAGAATGTATTGCATTGGGCTGGTCTGCTGCAAAAGACCTCTTTAAAAGTGTTTAAGAGCAAAGTTGTATTTTTGAAGACTAAAGTGAGCCTGACTCAAGACATGGTATTTTTAGTAGTGTCATGTGCATGTGAAAGGTGGGCAATGAATAAGGAAGAGAGAAGAGATGATGTATTTGAATTCTGGTGTTGGCAAAGAATGTTGAGAATACCGTGGACTACCAGAAGAATTAACCAAATCTGTCTTGGAAGAAGTATACTAGAATGTTCCTTAGAAGGAAGGGAGGATGGTGAGACTTCATCTCACATACTATAGACATGGACAAATCGGGAGAGACCAGTCCCTGGAGAAAGACATCATGTTTGGTAAAGTAGAGGTTCAGAAAAAAAGAGGAAGACCCTCAACAAGATTGATTGACAGAATGGCTGCCATAGTGGGCTCACACATAGTAACAATTGTGAGGATGGTCCAGGACCGGGCAGTGATTCATTCTGTTGTACATAGGGTCAGTAGGAGTAGAAACCAACTGAATGGCATCTAACAACAATAATTCTTTCTAGTAAGAGAATAAAGAAAATCCAAATTTAAATACTTAACATTTTGAATCATGGGAAGTGTCTTTTGGACCCTGCAAAAAAAAAATTAATGAAGCACCAATCATTCTTCCCATAGCCCTCTCTAGTCCTCTGGGGTCTATTAGTCAAAGTAGACTTGACAGTAATTCACGATCACCACCACCACCACTGAGGGTTTGCACTTAGATCATCCATTGCAATGACCATACAGAATTTAGACATCATACTCAGAGTTACCAAGTTTATTAGGGAAGTTAACAGGTTATCGTTTAGGCTCAGAAATGCTCAGGGTACAGTTCAAGTCAGCTGGAATAGTAAATGCCCACAGGACACACCATTGCACCATAAGCCTCAGCTTGAAGGCACTTGGCTCTAGTTCTGTGGGCCAGCAAACCTAGCTGCCCATTTTAAGTGTCTGGAGGCACCCCACTCAACAAGCAAACTTCCTGCCCGAAGTCACTCAGCTTTACTTGCTCCATGGACTGGGAAGTCCACTGCTCTGTCTCCTGCTCTGGTTCATCGTGGTTTTGCTGCTGCTGCTCCCTGCCCCACCTCCAGCATCACAGCTTTCTGTCCCTGGGTTGAGGAGGTTCAATGTGCAGAGATCTTAGGGGCCAAAGGATGTGTTCCACTCTTGGCTTTTCTTTGATGGTAGTGAGCTCCCCTCTTCTGCTTCTGAGATGCTCATTTTAAACCTGTGCTAGAGTTCCAAGTTTTACAATTACAGTTAACTCTGCTAACATCCGCAACTGGATCATGTCATCCTATTAGTATCTTCTCCCACCTAGACCCAACAGGGCAGAAACATTTGGCGGAAGTTACAGACCATGGCTAGAAGAGATGGCACAGACTCAATAATTAGGAACTGCTCATTTGTTTAGATTCTGCAAGGAGCCCTGGTGGCACAATGGTTACATTCTTGACTGTTCGTTTGAACCCAGCCAGCAACTCCACAGGAGATAGACACAGCAATCTGCTCTGGAAAACCACATGGAGCAATTCTACTCTGTCGCATGAGTTGAAATTGACTTGACAGCAACTAACAGCCACCACCACCTGGGGTTTGGACTTAGTTCCTTTGTTGAGGAAATAGCGTTATGTCCTAGTAAACTTCCAGAACCCGTTGGCCCTCTAGAGGTATCAGCTTCATTTTGTAAGACAATTTGTTTTTGTCATTAGGATTCTAAATTGTTAAGTGTAAGGTATGTGTGGTGCTGTGGTTTGATGCGCTGGACTTCAAAGTCAGTTTGAACCACAAGGTCAGCGGTTCAAGCTCACCAGCCGCTTCTTGGAAACCCTATATAAGGTTGCTATGGGTTGGAACCGACTCGACAGCACACAGCAACAACAATGGTATGTGCTAGATTGTTGTTAAATGCTGTTATAGAGCATCTGGTGGGTTTGAACCACTGAACTTGTGGTTAGCAGTCCAGTGTTTATCCTACAGTTCTACACTAGGACCCCATGTGCTAGATACTAAGGTTTAAAATACATTCTAATTAAGCACATTCCCGAAAAGGGTTGTGACTCAAGTAATCAGACTTGGAGGCAAAATATATTGTAGTTGTAGAGCTGGGACATTTGGAGCTAGGTCTGTTCCATAGCCCAGGTTTACTTAGGTCTGGTTAGTTTACTACACATTTTAGAAATAGTTAGAATCCTGATGTGGCACTGTAGGATAAGTACAGGACTACTAACCACAAAACCAGCAGTTCAAACCCACCAGCTGCTCTGTGGAAACCCTATACATACAGAGTCGCTAGAGACAGAACTGACTCGACGGAACACACATACATATTTGATATTCTATGAAGTCATTCATTTCCTTAGTACACAATTATAACTATTTGTACTCAGTATTTGTTTCTCTTTTTTAATTCTCTTTTGTTTGATTTTTTTGCAGAATCAGAACAGGAAATTTTGGCTTCTGATTTTCAGGGTGTTTTTTGTTTTAATTGTGAAAAGTAACTTACTTTCAGAAACAATGAACCATATGGATGGTTTTATAAACAAACACCCAGTAACTAGGAGTCCTGGTGTGGTGCTGTAGGATAAGCACTGGACTGCTAATGTCCCGGTTGGCAATTGAAACCCACCAGCTGCTCCTTGGAAATCCTACACAGGGTCGCTGTGAGTCAGAACCAACTCAACACCACTAAACAACATCTATTGTCTATGTCAACAAACAGGACCAGAAACAGTCTCTGTGCCCTTCTCTAATTAGAATTTTTTTCCTCCCCTGAAGGAGGTAACCAGTATTCTGACCTCAGTGGTCATTGTCTCTTTGTAGTTTGACAAATGTGTAGATGTGTTCCTAAGCATCTCCTTTTTTTTTTTTTTAAATGTTTTATTGTGAATTATGTGATAGTTTACATGGGAGAACATTAGCTGTGCATTCATCCTATCGTATATCGTTTCATTGCCATGGTTACAATCCCCTCCACGCATCATCAACCAACCAAAGAGTATATCCTGCAATCCTGCCCCCCAGTCTCTGGGTCTAAAGTCCCCAGCCGCACCATCTCTCCACATCATCATCTCTGCCTCCATCTCAGGCATCACTGCTTCTCTGGGTAGGGTTCCACTCTCCACTCTTCTCCCTTGATGGTCCCAAGGACCTCCGCTCCTAGACTGCAAAGTCAATCACTCCCCTCCTTTCGCTACAGAACGTCTACCTTTACATTTCCAACCCTCACAATCAGTTCTGATAACATTTATTCGCTACTGTATTATAAGAGACCTATCCCCATCTCCTTTCATCAGCCCCACCCAGACAGATTGAATACTACTTAGTGGAGATTCTATCTTCCTCTGTGCCCTCTGGATCTAGGTTCCCTCTTGAAAGCTTGTAAGCCAGTTACTTCTTGCATTTGTAGCTCCCCCACACACATACACATTTTGGGTAGCCAATGTCCAAGTTGCCCATCCTTGTCTACTCTGTGTATGGAGGGGGTAGGGATGATCCTCGCTGTAAAGATTTGTTCCCTCTTTTGAGCTACTGCATCCATAGGTGTAGGTCAAGCATCTCCCTATTTTTAACATGAATTTCTTTACAAAGATTGAAAGTTGCCTGAAACCACAGATTGTTGTTGTTAAGTGCCATCTAGTTAGTTCTGACTCATAGAGACCCTGTATAGGGTTTTTGAGGCTTTTTTGAAAAATCTTTGCGGGAGCAGAAAGCCTCATCTTTTTCCACGGAGTTGCTGGCGGGCTTGAACCACAGCCCTTGTGGCTTGCAGTCCAGTGCTTATCATTTGGAGCCACCACAGTCCCCAAACCATGGGTATCAGAATATTAATTATTAGTGTAAGGATTGCAGGGAGAATGTTTTAAGAGTACAAAGTTTTCAAGAATTTGAGTAAACATATTTGCTATGCTATTATAATTAGCATTGTGAGCTATGTTTCAGATTGGTTACTAATTTATTACGTTTCCTGTGTTTATCATTCTGTATTACTTTTGTGCATTTTTCTAAGTATGTATCAGACAAGATGAAACAATTCAGTTAGTTCAAGTCTAATTACCACGTCATAGATGTTTCTTCCTCTCTCCTTTGCAGCATGGGTAGGCTCCCTCTCCATGGGGATGATTTTCTTTTGCTGCCCAATCGTCAGTGTCTTCACGGACATATATGGTTGTCGGATAACAGCTGTTGTGGGTGCTGCAGTTGGATTCATTGGACTCATGTCCAGTTCTTTTGTAAGGTAAGGACTTCGTGTTTTTCATGTGGCTTTTCAGGAACTGTTAGCTACGTAACTGTTTTATAACTTAAAGATTTTCTTTCAGAAACTTCCCTCTTTATTAGGAAAGGTTCCGCTTTTCTTTGCTTTCCACTTTAAGCAGTATGACCTATGAATTGATTGTTAATCATAGCAGCCAATCAGACTTTGATGATCTGAATGCTTTTGCTTACAGTGTTTAAAACTTAACTGTCTATCATGACATATGTGTTCTGATAGTGAAGGGGTTCTCCTTCTGTTTTCTTTTCACATAAGAATCCCAAAGGAACTAAAGCTGTAACCATGAGGCAGCTAAAGCAGTTGCCTTATTTCAGAGTCAGCTCCATATGGGCACAAGGGTATGTTGTATAGTGTTTCCAAGGAGCAGCTGGTGAGTTTGAACTGCTGATCTTGCAGTTCAAATGACCTTGAGGTCAGGTGCTTATCCTACAGTGCCACATCAGAACACATAAATGGTATTTTAAAGGGGTTGTTCATAGGCTTGATACGAAATATTTTTTTCAACGGGTTTAAAACTTTGCTATGTACCAGGGGGCTTCAAGAAGTTAGTGAAAAATTTGGATTATTTTTTTCCATGAGTTTTTTTTTTGAAGTCCCCTTTTATTCTAATCCTGGTAGAGAATTCCTGTCTGTACCTGGGTGAAAAAAAGAGCTAAATTTAAAAAGATCATGACAGAATGAAATAGTCAAACAATTACAGCTTAGATGACAGCATAGTTTCCCTGTGTCTGCTGGTGAAGCTCATGTGTGATTGGAAGAAGCAGTAACTGTGAAGGAACAGCTGGGGGCTTCACTGCATGAAATGCCTCCCTCCAGCTCCAGTCCCCTAGCAAGCAAGCCCCTGGCATTACTGGACTGATTCCCCGTTAGAGAACAACTGGTTTAATATGTCCTTGTAAAAGACAATGTGGAGGTGACATCAGACCCCCTCCGGCTTCACATGGGGGCGAGGAGAATCACCAGCAGTGGGCCTCAGGGTCAGACCTGCCTCCCCTCTCCAGGCTTCTTTATCAGTTCTGACACCAGCCTCCCTCCCACAGCTCTCTACTTCTCAGCCGGGTTCAGTCATTCATTGCAATGGCCACACAGAACTTACAGGCCATATTCATGATTATGGGCTTTATTAGGGACGGTAATAGTTTTCAATTCAGGCTCAGAAATGCTCAAGACATACAGTTCTTTGGTCAGGACAGCTTCTACTTAGCCAAACCTGCAGGCAGGTGTCTCTCTGGTCTTTGGCCTCTTTATCACACAGCCCCTTGGCTTCTGCCCTGCTCAGTCAATATTACCAAGCCCGCGTAGGGCTGCTGATAAATACCCAGAGGGCACTCTATTTTGCTATATGCCTCAGCCCAAAGCCACTTGGTTCTAGTTCTGTGGGTTGGCCAACCTAGCTCCTCAGATGTAACGCCTTGAGTCGCCCATTCCACAAGCAACTCTCCTGCCGGGGGTACTCAGCTTTACTCGCTGTACGGTCCTGGAATCCCACCACTGTGTCATGCTCTAGCTCTTCATTCCGCTGCTGCCACTCCTCTGTTGCTCCTTTGGGATCACAGCTCTGTCTCTTGGGTGGTTGAGGAGGTGCAACACGCAGGGACCTTGGGTCCCAAAGACTTGTTCCTCTCCTGGCTCTTCTTTCTCTTTGGTGAGACCCCCACTTCCTGCTTTTTAGATGGTTTATTTTATACCCACATTGAACTCCAAGCTTTTACAGTCAAATTAGCCCTGTTAATAATAATTCACAACTGAATCCTATCATCCTGTTAGCATCTTCGCCTACCTTCTGTTACTCAAACCAATCGATGGGTGAGTGGGGGGCGGAGGGAACACCCTGTATGCCTGGTCCCAGCCAGTTGATTGATGGGAGTTACCGAGACTATGACTAGAAGAACCACATTGAGTAATTCACTGTGCTGCTGTTCTGGCAAACAGGAGGGTGGTTAACAAGAAAACGTCTTAAGATAATGTCTGTCCTCTGTTTCTGATTTGTTGTTGTTAAGTGCCATCGAGTTGATTCCAACCCATAGCATCCCTGTATAGGGTTTCTGAGGATCAGCTGGTGAGCTTGAACCACCGACCTTGCAGTTCAGATGACTTTGCAGTCTGATGCATTAGCCCACAGCACCACAGTAGGACTCCCTGTGTCTAATTTCATTTATCTTTTTTCCTGGTTCTTTCCTTTCCCTAAGGAACCCTGGTAGTGTAGTAGGTTACACGTTTGACTCCAAGGTTAGCAGTTCGAATCTACTAATCACTCTGCAGGAGAAAGATGAGGCTTTCTGCTCTAGTAAAGATTTACAGCCTCAGAAACCCTGTATAGGGTTGCTTTGAGCCAGAATCGACTCCACGGCACACCATCCCCACCCCTACCTTTTCCTACCTAACTTACCTTTCCCTCCATATACCGGCCTTTATTGGTCATTTTGGAACACTATTTCAGAAAGGGCATCATCACCATTAGTAACAGTAGAAACACATTATTGTGACCGGCAGGAGAAAACATGCACATACACAAAAATAAACTTACTGTCTTATTTATTTTTCTAATATTCTGATTTTATCAGAAGAATCTATTACTTGGTTTTACGAAACTTCCTTTCTTCCTACACACACACATACACACACACACACACACACACACAAAACCTTCTTCAACTCTAAAGTGAGCTTTGCTTTATATTTTCCTTCACCTAACTTAGAAATTTAATTTATATTCTAAACAACTAAATTGTTTATTTTTATTGAATTGTTATTGACTGATTGGAATAAGATATTCCATCTTTAAAATACCTTTGCAATTGTTTTGGGTTTTGTTTTGTTTTGTTTTGTTTTTAAAGAAACACATACACACACACCAGATTTTGTTTGGAATAAAATTCTGATTCAGTAATTCCGTGAGATCATTTACTTTTGGTTATTTTTCAGCAGCAATACAGCATTACTTCATGACTTATCACATATCTTCTTTGACCTGGAGGCCTCTGGGTACCTGTTGTCAGTATCTGTGGCCGTACTGTTTGCCAAATGTGGTGGAAAAGCTGGTGCAGAATGAATGAATGAAGTATTACTTTATATTTGAACTGTATTCTTATTATTTGGAGTGGGTATTTTGAAGCAGACTATATGAGTAGCTCACCCTCGGAAACCCTGTACAGGGTCGCTATGGGTCGGACCCGACTCGATGGCACTTAACAACAACAACAATATGAGTAGCTTGAGGGCAAAACCACACTTAAAAATATTCTTCTCACCAAGTACCTGATACACAGCAGCTGCTTAACTGTTCGCTGGATGGAGAGTGGAGACTGAGTAAAGAGTGAGGTAGGATTAATCTGGAAAATCTAAGTGACTCCAGAACATGATTTGAAAATGGGGAGCTGTGGATTAATGCAGGGGGAGGGCATCTCAGACAGAACTGTCAACATACCTTAATATTATCAGATCCTAGAGTTCCTTCTGATTACTTTGGCACATTACTATCCTAGCATTATTCTCCAAAATTTAATTATTAACTAACTTTATCTATCTTAGTTTATAATAAATAGTTTGCCTTTAATACTGATAGTCTTTTGAAGAGAAAAACTTTACTCGTCTTTTATTCTTTGCCCTAATTATGTCAATGAATGGAATGCTGAGACCCTTTACTTTGGTGCGTGATGTATAAAGGTTTTGCTAAACTACAGTTCTTAATCTTTCCTTCTTTTGAGATATGCCTGACCTTAAAGCTTACAAACTGGGGTCACTCATGAACATGCTTAGTTTAGTCTTTCTGCGATCAGAATATGATTTCTTTTCATCTTGCCCAACACCAATAGCAGTGCAATACAGGGCGAAGGTTGGTCTACAGTCCTTAGGCCAGCAGAAATGAGGCATAACTGCTCCTCTGTGCAAATGTTCCTGGCATAACCTTGGGGAGAAAAGTCAGCCTTTGTTTTTACTAGATTGTTTAGTAGGTGCTTGTAAAACCTCCAGTAAAATTCATGTCTTTTAATAGTTAAATTCTTTCTTTTTTTGTTTTAATGAAACTAAGGCTTTTGCTTGTTAATTTAAATCACTGGCAGTTTTACTGAGCCTTTCCCGCACCAGCCTTTATTTCTGAATTCTGGATAGCTCTGTATTTATCACTCAGTGCAATGCTGTGTGGTTCACCTGAAATCCTTGGGAAAGGAGAGGGAACAAACTCACTCTTGACTTTAGTGGACATTGTTCACATATTTGAGGCTATTTTGTTATGTATTCAGATTAAATTGAAATATTTTTAGTGCGAATCCTTGATTTATTAAGTTTCCACTCACTATTTTTAGTTGATTTTTATTTGTAGAATTAATGTTGATTTACTAGAACACACTTTTACTATAAGATTTTATTCTACCAAACACATGATGACAATAATGAAAGCTGCTTTCTGTCTGTTTCGTCTTTCCACAGTTCCATCGAGCCTCTGTACCTTACCTATGGAATCATATTTGCCTGCGGCTGCTCATTTGCATACCAGCCTTCATTGGTCATTTTGGGACACTACTTCAAGAAGCGCCTAGGCCTGGTGAACGGCATTGTCACGGCTGGCAGCAGTGTCTTCACAATCTTGCTGCCTTTCCTTTTAAGGGTTCTGATTGACAGCGTGGGCCTCTTTGACACACTGAGGGTCCTCTGCATCTTCATGTTTGTTCTCTTTCTGGCTGGCTTTACTTACCGACCTCTTGTTTCCAGTGCCAAAGATAAAGACAGTGGACCCAAAGGAGGCAACAGATTCTCCTTTTTATGTAGGAGAGAGTCCAGCCCTCCAAAAAAAATTTTCAATTTTGCCATCTTCAAGGTGACAGCTTATGCAGTGTGGGCAATTGGGATACCACTTGCACTGTTTGGATACTTTGTGCCTTATGTTCACTTGGTGAGTATGTTGCTTGGGATTCTCTGATAATGGATATTATTATTCCATCTGGAATAACTTCTTAGGGAAGCAAGATGGCTCAGGTTGCCTTTGACCTCACATCATCCTGGTAATAATTCAGAGGCTCTCAGGGCTCTCAGGTCTCTCAGGGCAAGAGCAGCACATCCCTCAGACCATCCAACATCAGTTTCATTGTGTGCTTTGGCATTTTAAACAATTCCAAACCCAAACAAAACAGTTGTGAAAGAAAATAAAGGCAAGGGAAAGTCTTTGAACAAATAACATCAACACAAAAAACATGACAGGCCGCTTTTCCTTGCTATTAATAATGAAGGACAAAGGGCAGTGATTTTGCTAAGTTATTTTTCAACAAAAGGGTGCAGAAATTAGGTAGTTTGCAAAGCAGCTGATGGCCTTGATACAAAGATGTTTCACATCTACTTGTGGGACAGGAATTCCATTCAGAAGAATCTTTGAGAAAATATTAAGGAAGGCCAAATGAGGGCCTAGAGCTAGGGTTTGATAGGGAATTAGATAGGGAATTGGGTTTTTTTGATAGGGAATTGTTTATTTCTATTCCAAAGGACAAATTTCAGCCTCTTTATCCTAAAACAAGAATAAACAGTGTCTACAGTATTTGCCTTTGGTCAAACTTGCTCAAAAGTGCTCATTATGTTTCCTCCTCTTTTTTTTTTCCCCTGCTGTGATAGAAAATGTATTTACAGTTCTACATAGGTGATAAATAATAAAGACAAGATGATACTAACATAGTTGTATGTAAACTAGGGAGGAGGAGAGGTTGGAGGAGAGAGTGCTTAGATCTTTTCTAGCTTAAACTCTATTGCTTTTTAACATTAATGCAGCTTTTCTTTTGTTAAGAATTTTGGGGCAAGTTTGTATCAGCAATTAAAGAAGCCAGCTGATAAAGTACATCAATATTTTCTGGGTCTCTAAGCCCTGGACCTTTGAGTTCTGGTGTGACGCTGTAGGATAAACCCTGGACTGCCAGCTACAAGGTTGACATTTCAAATCCATCAGCCTCTCCTCAGAAACCCTATGTAGGGTTGCTGTGAGTTGGAATTGACCCACGGTACTTAATAGCAACATTGTGCTTAGTTAGTCAGTGTGGTGACTCTGTAGGAAAAGCACTAGATTACTAACCATAAGTTCGGTGATTTGAGCCTACCAAACACACACCTGGAGAAAGATGAGACTTTCTGCTCCTGTAAAGATATACAACTTTAGAAAACCTATAGAGCCGCTATGAGTCAGAATAGACTCAGCTGTACCTAACAACAACAACAACAACATGATGCTTAAGTTGAGAAAAGAAATTAGAGCAAGGAAACAAGGTGGGGAATATTAGGCATGCCCTCAGTATAGGAGTAACTCTGGTTTCTCACATTTCTTTATTTCCTTCTTGCCAGAGCAATTGAGGAAACAAATGAACAGACAAGGGAGGGAAGGACTAGGTTTCAGTACTTTTAACCACTTGCATCTTCTGGAGACTGAGACACTTGGTAAAATGACCTAGTGTGGAATGCCTGCCACACACACAGTATATGGCCACATTTGATCTCACAATCCATTTTCCTGTTTTCATGAAGGCATATTTGAACCATCTGAAGCCATTTTTTGTTGGACTAGAGAGTCCTCTCTGGTAGCGTAGTGGTTACGAATCGGGCTGCGAACCTTAAGGTCAGC